TGGTGGCAACTGCCGCATTCACATCCTTCGGCACAACATCCCCTCGGTACCTGTGCAATTATCATGACTCTGCTCTACGGCACACAACACTCAATTACGCGAGGAAGCAACTTCCAACCATTGTGTCGAACTCTGCACGTGCACAAAACAAGGGAGCTCACTCACGCAAGCACCCCCACACACACACACACACACATGCACGCACGCAGACAAACACACAGACACTCAGACACACACACACACACACAGACACACTAACATCAAGCTTGAATGATGACTGGCCAAGACACATCATGCAGCAAGCCATGTACTTGCCATGACGAGGATCACACTTGACCTCACGTGTCCAAAAGGACTGGAACAAACAGAAACCTTTGCGAGTCTGTATTTCAGCAAATAAAACAGCAAGCCAGTTGATTGAACATATCAGCGTTGGAGAACTGAGCGGCCATCATCGAGGCAGGCTCAAACACGGACATGGTGATCTCCGCCACGGAGAGCTGCTCATGGTATGCCTTCTCTGCTGAGATCACCGGCGCAAAGGAAGTGAGCATGAAGTGGATGCGTGGGTAGGGGACAAGATTTGTCTGGAATTCGGTGATGTCCACGTTCAAAGCCCCATCGAACCGCAAGCTCGCAGTCAATGAGCTAATGATCTGAGCGATCAGCCTGTTCAAGTTTGTGTAGGTCGGGCGCTCAATGTCCAAGTTCCTGCGACAGATGTCGTACAATGCCTCGTTGTCCTTGTTGCTGCAAGCTGCTCCAAGCACACCCACACCCAACACACAATCATGGCATGGCAATTTCTGGGCAATTGAATGGGATTGAAACACCTCAATGCGAATGAAAAAGGGCAAGTTCATTGCATCATAGATAATTGTTGATAACGCTATCACGTCAAGCGTGCGATGTCACCGAAAAGCGGTCAACAAACAGTTGAAAAAAAAGAAGCAAACAAGTCGAATATTCCTGCCAAAATAAGAAACATCACCGAAGCAAGAGCATGGATCTCATTGACAGTACTTTCATTAGCGATACCCTCGGCACCACACAAACAAATTGCGCACCCAATGCGTTCGTGAATCATGTGCTAGCCTGTATGTGTTAATGTATATATCTCGTGGATCGTGTGCTGTTGGTAATTGTTTGCCAAGTAACGTACATGATGGTCACATCCGTGTGCTCGAGCAGGGAATGGACGCAGAGCACGGTGTTGTAAGGCTCGACCACTGCAGTTGCCACCTGTGGGCACGACCAAACTGTGAAGGAGATCTTGCTCTTCTTGCCGTAGTCCACGGACAAGCGCTCCAACATCAGGCAGCCCAAGCCGGATCCCGTGCCGCCGCCAACCGCGTTGTATACGCAGAAACCCTGCAAACCGGTGCAGTTATCGGCGAGCTTGCGGATTCCTGAGCGGCAAAAGATGGCAACCGCGCAGGTCATTCTGAATACCCATCTGTGATGCAGAACCCCTCTGACCTACCAAAAATGAGGTTGGCATGTTTGCTGGAAAAAAGACCGACATCTAAAACTTCAAGCGTTGCCAACTCCAAAGAGGCTCGGTCCAAAACCAAATCCACAATCTCTTTGCCAATGGTGTAGTGCCCTCGTGCCTCAATATGGTTTTCGCGTTTTTGGTGTGGCCGCAAGATGACACCAAAAGATTGGAAAACACGGGTGCAAACTGAACTTGGCCTTGGGACGAAGTTGTTCGCGGCGTCTTCCTTGCCAGAGATGAGCTGCTCTGGGTGGAAGAGCTGACGGTAGGTGCCCGTGCGCACTTCGTCGACAACCGTCGGCTCCAAGTCGACCATCACACAACGGGGCACGTGCTTGCCCGCGCCGGTCTCACTGAAGAAAGTGTTGAATGCCTCAAACCGGGGTTGCGTTCGCGACACAAATCAAAGGCCAAAGGCAGCGCGCCACATACCTTAAGAATCGACCCGCCCACTTCTTGCTAAACGATGAGTGGTAGGGGCTAACAACAGTTGATCAATGTTGAAGCCAACGTGGATCAATCTCTGCGCTTTCCCCCTCTTTAGCTATGAAGCGTGGGCTCAATACGAACATAACAAGTGAACTGCACAACTGTTCCAGATACCGCATACGGGCAAGAAACACAACATCAAGCTACATAACAATCCAGCAGCCAACAAACATCCCTCAGACCGTTCCCGAGCCCTTAGACGATCAAACAACGGAAAGGGAAGCGAGCAACTTTTGGAGAAAAGACGCGCAGCGAAAGAAGAAGCGAGAAAGAGAGAAAGAGAGAAGGAGAGAAAGAGAGAAAGAGAGAAAGAGAGAAAGAGAGAAGGAGAGAAGGAGAGAAACAGCGAAGGAGAGAAAGAGACAAAAAAAGAGAAAAACAAGGAGAAAAGGAAAATCGGAGATTAAAAATCAAAAAAAGAACAAAAATCAGAAAAGATGAGAAACAAAAGAAAAGTAAAAAAGAAACTATGAAAACAACTAGAAGATGGGCAACCCGAATGTCTGTTGTTGGCGCGCACGCTTTGGCAAGCACACGCACGCTCAGACACAAAAACATCGTCTTGCGCCTCGCTCCTTGCACTTGCAGCTTGCGCCATCCTTGCACCTTGCGCCGTGAACCTTGTACCTTGCGCTTTGCACTTCACCTTGTACCCCGCGCCGCGCGTCTTGCGCCTTGTACCTTGCACCAAGCATCTTGTGCCTGACCGTTGCGCGCGCATCACGAAAAGTTGCACAACCACGCCGGTCCCCGCAGAGGGTTGCGGGCATCTCAAAGAGTGGCAAAAGCCCCCACACCGACTTCAACAAGCGCCAAAAGTCCTCAATTTGTTCGCGTCGACCACGCCGACTTCTGCGCAAAGGGCGCAGACTTCCAAAAAATAGCAAACGTCCTCAGATTGGGCACACGCCGATCCCAGGACGCGGGCTCGTTTTGCGGTCTCACGCGGTCTCACGCAGTTTTCTCGTGAAGTGGGCTCGCGCCACGTTGCGCAGGCGTACCTGTGCAAGTTGGCGCAAGTGCGCCCGTGGGAGTTAGGCAAGGTGACACTCGCGGAATCTGCAGGAGTTACAGTACTCAATCATGTGAACCTTTTATAGTTCCTCCTTTTATAGTTCCTAGGAGGCCTGGCTGCACGGCTAATCTTTCAACCAGCTTCCCTGCCAGGGCTCTGTAAATCCTTGGTGCGCTTGGCAGCAACAGGAGAGGGCGCTGGTCAGCGGAAATCCATACTGTTCGGAGCAAGCCGCAGTCGGCAACCCTGACTCCCAGCTGGTAGCGGCCTAGCGCCACGCCATAGGTGGCCTGGTTCGTGACGGCGTCAGTGTGTTGGACCCACTTCTCTGCATGGCTTCTAGCACACTGCTGTGTGCTCCCAACCTTCCAGCTTGGTTACCGGTTCGAGGAAGGCCCGGTATGTGCTGTCACGCGCCATAGCGCGCGGCAACTGCAAAAGTTTCCACGCTGCCTCCTGGCTTTCTACCCCCTGAGAAGGCCCTTGACCTGCTTGAGGTTTTCGACACACTCCCAGCCCCAGTCAACAGCGACGGAGTGCGCCCACCATCTTGCACACCTGCCCAGTCTGCGGCCCAGCCTGCCAGGCACCTCGGGTTGCCACCTGACCAGCGGTGGTCAAGACTGTGGGGGCCTGCGAGTCCTTTGTGTTCTTTGGGAAGAGCCGTCACAACGCACGCGCTGTTGTTGGCCAGCTGGCAGGGTCAATGTTCCACATGCCCTGAATGGCCCGGGCTAGCAGGCGCTGAAACCAGGGCCCCATGGCGCGCGCGCTCAGCCCGTGAAGGTCAGGCGCTCCATTGCGTCCAGTGAAGCATGGTCAGAGGAGAATAATCGGCCGAAAGTAGTTTGTGACCGGCTGAAGAAGCTGCCTGCTACCACTTCATAGGACGCCCATGGCGCGGTCATCCACGCACGCCCAAGTTTTGAGCAAGGGCTCGAAATTGCCACGCCTGTGCTCTAAGAAGGGCCCAAGCAAGCAGCAACACCTGGCGGGGCCACTCACATGAGTTCAAGCAAATGACTTCGGGAGGTTTCTTCCTGTTGGCTTCGGGAGCAAGGTGGTACAAGCGCCATTGCTGAAGCTGCTGGTCGCAGGCAGAGCTTCGCAAGTCAAGGTGCGAAGTGAAGCTCGCCCCAAGCTCGCGCAGCTCTTGCCGCTGGCGCCTGTGGCGCAAAGTTGCACGCCCCGAGGGCGCAATGCTTAAGCCAAAACAGCTACGGCTGCACTTGGCAAGCAACACAGGCTCACAAGCCAAATGTGGCAGACATCTACGCCGTGCGATCCGTAAGAAGAAAGAAAGAAAGGAAGAAAGCAATAACAAGAAAGAAAGAACAAGAAAAGAAAAAAGCAGAAAAAAGAACGAAGGAACTCAAGACAAACAGACAGAAAGACAGGAAGAAACAAAGAAGAAACTGTGCGAAAGAAACTGAAAGAGACAAAGAAAGGAATTCAGGAAGAAAGAAAGAAACTAGGAAAGAAACAAGGAAAGAACAAGGAAAGAAACAAGGAAAGAACCAAGGAAAGGAACAAGGAAAGGAACAAGGAACGGAACAAGAAAAGCACGAGCAACAAAAACCAAGAGAGAGAGAGAGAGAGAGAGAAAGAGAGAGAGGTACAGAGAGAGAGATTGACAGAGAGAAAAAGGACAGAGAAAGAGAGAGAGAGAGAGAGACAGAGAGCGAGAAAAGACAGAGAAAGAGAAGAAAAAGGGAAAGCAAACAAGAGAAAGATAAAACAAATATGGACAAAACATCACGAACCGAAGAAACAGGAAGCGAGGCATAGGGAAAGAGGCGCCAGGATAAAGCAAAGGAGAAGGAGAAAAAAATACAAACAACGAATCAAAGAAAAGAAAAACGGAAACAAAGAGAGACAAAGAAAGAAAGAAAGAAAGAAAGAAAGAAAGGCAAAAAGAGAAATGGATATGGTATATGCAAAAACTGAACATGCGCCATCGAAGGCTACATCAAGCACTGAGCATATCAGGCAAGATACATCATCACCTCCTCCAATTGTCTTGTCAGACGGCATCTGACCATCAGGTTGGATGCCATGCTCCAAGCAGAACAGCTCCCAGCAGGCGTTGCCAATCTGCACGCCGCCCTAAGATAATTCGACGGAAATCGTTTCATACCCGAAGCCTTCGGCCGGGTCTTGCCAAATAGCGCATGTACACAAGCCGGTTTCAACCCACCAAGCTGGGACGCATCTGGGACGCACACGGGCTAAGTGGGAAACGATCGTAGGGAAGGAGCAACTCAAGTTACCAAAGGTTTGCCAAACTCTCCAAAGCACCTGGCCGATGTGGATGCAGATCGCCTCACGCATGGTTGAAAGAAGACAATCAGAAAGTGCCGGAAACTCACCGCGTGATGTGGCTGCCTCAAGCACAAATCCTGGAGCCAGAGCGGCCATTGGCAAGCGCTCTAACTTGACAAACGGGTGTGTCGGTGGTACCCCTTTGTAAGGCTTTTGAACGGAAACCCGAATTTTGGGGGATCCCCTAAGAAAGGACACAACCGAATGTGCTTGAAACCATCTTATCATTGCCAACAACATTAGGATCGGCACGGGCTGAATTTGTGTTCCAAGGTTAACCTGGATTGCATTCCCTATACGTCACCCCACTACAAGGCTCACTTTAAATTGGCCCAGGCGTGCATTTCTCTTGTACGGTTGGCCCACCTACAAGTTAGCTCATGAACATGTAATTGAATCCAACATAATCCAAACACAGCAAGGAGTCACAAAGTCTAAGCCCTGCAGAGCTGTAAGCTAAAAATCCAGAAGCCACAAGCAGCCCTCTCAGTCCGGGTGTATCAAACAACCATTGCAGGCCAACCAGCAAACCCGCGTTCAGTAGAACCGTTTGTAACAAACTGTACAAACCATGCTGATTTGCCCAGGTCCTCCAGTAGGGAGCTTAGAATAAGGGTACCCTTTTTTCGGTAGTCTATTCCAGCAGGGGAACCGAATCTCACTTCCGATCGAGTGGTGTGGCAAGTCCGAACTTGTTGTTTCCCACAAAATATTGCTTCTCAAGAAGCGACAAATAGTGTAGGATTCAGAAAGCGACACGGTGTACTTGTCGGGATGACTTTGACTGTCCCGCAGTCTGAACTCATTGTCAGTTAGCACTGCATACTGCATCCTCAACATGCCTGCCTGCCCATAGAAAGTTCGCCTAAATTGCTTTCATGCAGAACTCGAGACATTTTGGCTGTCATAGCCCCATACAGTATCCGTAAAGGTGACTTTGGACATCAGAACGTCTCATCACACAGGCCCCCCACCTGCACCCTAAGATTCGGAGGGTGGCACATCCCTGGATCAACCCAGCTGTGTCCGAACGATCTTGACTCTCAC